TACAAAAAATAAATCAAAAGTAACCAGATATGGTGGCATGCACCTGTAATATCAGCTACTTGGGAGGCGGAGGCAGAGGGATCACCTGAGCCCAGGAGGTCAAGGCTGCAGTAAGCCATGATCATGCCATTGCTCTCCAGCCTGGGCAACAGAGACCTCAATGCAAAATGCAAAAAAACAAAAAACAGGCCAGGCACGGTAGCTCAAGCCTATAATCCCAGCACTTTGGGAGGCCAAGGAGAGTGGGTTGCCTGCAACTTGGTGAGACCTCAACTCTACAATAAATCAAAAAATAAGCTGGGCATGGTAGCGCACACCTGTAGTTCTAGCTACTTGGAAGGCTGAAGCAGAAGGATCACCTGAGTCCAGCAGATAGAGGCTATGGTGGCCATAAGCGTGCCACTGCACTCCAGCCTGGTCAACAGAGTGAGACTCCCTAAAAAAAGAAAACACCCGGCCGGGGTTGGTGGCTCAGTCTGTGATCCCAGCACTTTGGAAGGCCAAGGCAAGTGGATTGCCTGAGCCCATGGGTTTGAGACCAGCCTGGGCAACATTGAGAGACCTCATCTCTACAATAAATCAAAAAATTAGTTGGGCATGGTAGCGTGCACCTGTAGTTCCAGCTACTTGGAAGGCTGAGGCGGAAGGATCACAGGAGCCCAGGAGGTCGACGCTGGTATGGCCGTGAGTGTGCCATGGAACTCCAGCCTGGGCGACAGATTGAGACTCTGTCTCTGACTCAAAACAAAACAAAACAAACCCCAAATAGACCAGCTGCCGTTAACACCCATCCCTTCTAGTTAAAGGAGGAAGCGAACATCCCTTGTATTTAAATAGTACTATATTTTTTGTACTCCTTGATCATCTCAGTGAGACCATGAATCAGGCAAAAATTTCCATCCTCATTTCAGGGAAAGTTTCACGACTTGCCAAGGCCCCATGATTCCAGTTGGCAAGGGCCAGGCAGTGACTCTAGTGGAAGAATCCTGGCCGAGTTCCTTCCTTATAAGTTGCCCTGAGCAAACTGGTCAATTTAACCTTATCTTTATAATGCAGATAATACAATCTTCTTCACAGAACTACAGTGAGTATTAAATCTGATACCTTTAAGTACCTAGCACACCACAATTTTTAAAAGGAAGCCATGATTTCCATTCCTAGGGGAGAAAAGGATAGCTCTTAAGGTCTTCCCCCACTCTCCAACCTCAAGGTCTCCTATGCACACAGCAGAAACCAACTGAGCTCTGTCAATGACAGAAGAGGCAAAAAAGTGATCTTCGGGTGGGGAGTGTGAACAAAGAACAGTGTTTTCTATGTCTTTGTTCTTTCACCCTGGCAATGCCTAGCACATAGTAGGCACTCAGTGGAACACCTGATAAGTGAACTAACCCAGAGTTAGCAAGCCCTCTGTTCCCAGCTGATGATTATAAAGGAAAATAGGAAGCATCAACAATTCCCTTGAACTAAAACTCTGGTCTCTTACGCTGTGAGATTCCATTACATATTTCTGTGCTGCTTTCAGGGTAGCTAGCATTGACTACTAGGGAAGATAACTTTTTCTGAGTATCAACATCACATTGGTTCTGTTTACCAAATATGCCTCTGAATGGCTGGTCCCACTTAAAAATATTCAGAAACCACTGCTTCCTATAAACAAAAAGAAAATAAAGTGGTCCCACTGACATTCTCTTATCCTTATCCCTACCTCAAGCAGTCTGTACCAATTCCACTTCGGTGACTAAAGCTCTAAGTCTTTTATAAAACAAAACTGTATCTTGGAGGTAAAAAACTCAAAACTATAATGGAGTAAAGGAAAACTCTCAAAAGCAGTTTAAAATCAATATTCGTGGGTTTCACTGATCTTGTTCCTTAGTTTACCTGAACATTCATACATTATTTTAAGCCACAATTATGTCATTGTTTCCTGTCCTATGTACCTGATCACAGCTGCTGTGATTTTTTTTTTTTAATTGAAGTCTCACTCTGTCACCTAGGCTGGAGTGCAGTGGCATGCTCACAGCCACCACCACGGCATTAACTTGTTGGGCTCAGGCGTTTCTTCCGCCTCAGCCTTCCAAGTAGCCAGAACTATCGGTGCACACTACCACGCCCGGCTGATTTTTGATTTGTTGTAGAGATGAAGTCTCACCAAGTTGCCCAGGCTGTTCTCGAACCTGTGGGCTCAGGCAATCCCCTCACCTCGGCCTCCCAAAGTGCTGGGATTACAAGCTTGAGCCACTGCGCCCAGCCACGGTGATCTTTGACGTTTTCTCCCGATCATCAAAAATTCAGTTCTGCCCTGGATGGAATAGCCAGCAATGCCCAAAAAGAACATCCCAGGAGGCTTTTAAATCAGGGCTATTAAAGTGTCAAATCACTGTCCTCTCTGTGACCAGCTCCTTGGGTCCTCGGCACACATTTTAAGTCACAGGATCATATGGGAGCCCTTGGCAGCTACAAGGTCAACACCAGAAGAATTCCCTGCACCCCTTCAACAGCACGCTTGTGCATATTCATGAGCACATTCAGCATCCTCTCCTTCTCAAAGGGTCTATGCTGCACCCTGGAGCTAGAAAGGAGGACAGGAAGGAAGAACACTCAGTACCTACAGTTTCTCTGCTAAGAAGCTGAGGCAATGTCATGCTCCAGCTCCACACAGCAGCACTGTCAGAGCTCTCAGTCAGGGATCACACACCCTTGCCTTCACTAGGTATTATGTCTGTCATTCAATAGAAAAGCACAAAGACACAGTGGTCAGCCCAACAAGACTCCAGCCCGTGGGAGGCGTAATCACTGTCAGAGGACATCAAATCCGACACACTTGTGGGATCACAGAAAAAGTAGAGACGTGAAGATAGGTAGTTCCCAGTGTGAATAAGCGTTTCCTCCTTGTTTGCTTATTATTCATAACATTAGGCCTAAGCTGTTTTGCTGAAAAACCTTCTACCTCTGTGTCTTCCAAGAGATGAGAATTATATGTACTGCATGTGTGAGATTAAAACCCACTGCACACTGAGCTGAACCATATTCAGCATGTAGGAATGCCACTTCAGGTGTTCATCACACTCTTCATTCACGAGGCTGGGGGACAGGGCAGAACCACACGAATTTAACACCTTGCTGCGCCTGAAATATTCATTAAGTGCTCTTATCTGCAGTCACCCTCAGAACCACTCTCCACTAATTTAAATTGAAGAGACTATAATCTGCTCACATTTAAATTATGATGAACAGGAACATTTCCACTGGAAAAAAAATCATTACACATCTTAATTTGCACTGCCAATTAGGAGGTCTTTAGAAAAGGGAAAAAAATCTGATCATCTTACATATGGCAATTTGCCCTAATTGGTGCATAATGGTGGGTTGGATATAATTTATGGGTTACCCCTGCAAAGTACACAGTTTACCATTTTAGAGTTACCAAAATTAGCCTCCTCATGCAACAGTAAAATGTGCACATCCAACTACACAATCTGGGACACTGTGAATTTCTTAAGTGTGAACTGTGAGTCTCAGTGGCTGAAGCCCAAAGAACCTCCAACAAAAAGGTTTCTGACTGATACATTTATCTGGATACATTGTCTGATGAAATCACAAGGAGCTCAATCTCCTTCCAGAGGTTTTGTTTTTGAGTCCTGGAGAAACAGAAACTCCTAGAAGTGTAGCATGCCAATACATGGTAAAGACCAGTGGCTAAATAAATAAATAAATAAAGTATCCAGCCCTGTCTCAGTCCTTACGATTGCTTTACTGTTTGTTTTCCTTGAATTTAATATCCACCCTCATTGGAGATATTATTAAATAATACTCTTTCTCACAAACATCCACAACAGATTTTTCTCAAACTACGTTCGGTAAGACTTTCAGAAATCACTGAACGAGCAAAGTGATCGTTGGTGGCTCAGTTTTCAATTTGCTGCCAGACTCAAGCAGTGACAGCGGCCTAGGCTTGGACACCACTGGCATCCAGGGAACTGGTGGCACCCAGTGCTTTGCACCTCCCAAAGCCCCCCCCCCGGTTTGGGGCCGCGCCCGCCCCTTCTCCTAGGCCCAGCGCCCAGGTGGAGAAAAGTAAACACCCGGCGAAGGTGAGTTGGGGGCAGTGAGTCCAGAAGCTCTCACAAAGCCAAGTGGAAAAAAAAACCCCAACCCTCGCACAAAGCAATTCTGGGCTCCCACACGCTCTGGCGTGGCCGCTTCCTTACCTTTGAACAAATTTTATTTTTACTTCTCTTGAAAAATGTTTTCATTGCTTACCTATAAATAAAAAGGTATGTCGATTAAGAAAATGTGGAGAAAACCCCTTTGGAAAGGCAAAAAAGGAAAGCAAGTCGTGTTCACCTTCTACCACTCATGGAAACATTTGGGGAACTCACTCTCAAGTGTTTGTTAAGGAGAGTTTTAAAGACTCGTTAAGGCCCATAAAGCGCAAATGGGGTCGTGCTGTGCCTCTGATTTGGGATCTTGCCACTGGCTTTTTAATTTGGCCTAAAGAGGATGCCACTTCCAAGTGGTTACAAAATCCCTGAAAACATTTATAAAAGTTCTAGAACAAACACGAAAGTAATTCCTCTCACACGCCATTATCCGAGTTGCATTGGTCTGACCCGACTGTTTTTTAGAAAAACTGCACCATTTAAGACTTCCTTATCCCGGTGCCAACTCCCGGAGAAGTTGGGGGCGCACAAAAGCCACCCCCCCCCCACGTCTTACGAGACCTGCAAACGCAGGCGCTGCACCCCCAGCAGCCATCCGGGACGAAGCAGACTGCCCGCGCATGCCTCCCCCCGCTTCTCCAGCCCGGGGGCGCACGGCGACCCATCGCGCACACCTGCGGGGCGCGCCTACTAGGCGTTCGCGGGACCGGGCGCGCCAGGTTCCCAGCGCCGCTGCCCGGGGCCACGTTTCCAAAGCCTGGGGCCGGGAGGAGGGCGGGGACGCCCAGGGAAGGCCGGCCAAGGCTGCGTCCCGGTGGCGGCGGGCGGCCGGACCCTCACCTGGCAGCGAGTCGCCAGCTCCATTCTTCCTAGCGGCGCTGCAGCTCCTCCTCGCACGCGACCAACGATCCTGGTCGCCCCGGGCCGGGCACGCCGAGAACGCCCCGCCGCCGCGCAGCCAGCGCACTCCGCTCGGAGCTCGGGCGGGCCCCGGGAGGGGCGCACTCGGCGCCCGGGACAGGG